AAAGCCCGGGGGCACATAGACCCGGATTGCATCGTTGCCGAGCGTCCTTCGGACGAAGCTATACCGCAAAAACTCCTCGAAAAACTGAATGTCTAAACGCTTTTGTAGCCGAGGAACGAAAGTTTTCATTCGTGTAAGTAATGACAGTTTTGGAACCTTTCATAGCCTATTAGGGACGGGAGATTACGGTTTCATTGACCGTTCGACTTTTATACCACACCGGCGGGGTGGGGGGGGGGGGGGGACAGCGGCAAAACTCCAGATTTACAGAACCTGGCAACGCATTTCCTCCTAAGACGGGCAATGAAGAGGCGACAAAAGGAACAGCCGAGGAACAGAAAGGTCAATGCTTTCCGGTTTGGACGTACGTTCCGCGGAGGCCAGGACGGCGTCAGGACAGGCATGTTAGTTACTGCAAGTTCTTGCCGGAGAGGCGCATACTAACCGAATTAATTTTAGACAAAGGCTTTTTGTCCTCTCCCTCTCGGAGGGGACAGTCTGACTCTCTATTGATCGTTGAGTCACTCCTTCCCTCGGTAGAGGAACTCACAATTCTATCAGTAAATAGATATGAGAGCACCAGAGTTTGCAAAACCGAGTGGTAAAGAAGCCGGGCCGAACATGAGCGTGGGCACGCCCTATTCGGAGTGGTGTGCGCCGCACCGTCGGGTCTTTTCTGCCGACCTGACGCCTTTTCTTGCCGATTCAACATGGCGTCGGGAACACCACCGGAAGTCGGACAAAGGGATAACACTGATTGGCTGTTCAGCTAGCGAATCAGTGCATGAGAAGCGTTAACGGAAGTGAGGGAGGTAAACAAATGATTTAAGATGAAAGATGGAACACACACGGACGGCTATTTCACCTCATCGGCTTATAGAGCTCCTGTTCGTTCATGTTTTCAATGGACGAGAGTGAAAATGGAAAGAAAAACGCTATTTGTTGTTTTTTTATATCACGGAGTCTGTTCTTCTTCTCTGTCTTCCGGTTGTTCCGGTTGTTGCCTCTTTTGAATGATGAATACACACTACCGCCGCCTGCTGGTAAGGAGAGTTATTGCCACTCACGCATTTGCAGTTCATACGTGCTCGGCTCGGATTTGCGGTGTGTTCCAGTGCGCGAAGTCGGCAAATACGCAGGAGAGTCCGGCGACGCAACAGTCGGTGTCGGCGTCGGCGACTTCTCAACTGTCGGGCCGGTGTATCTGGGCCTTAACATAATGACATTACTTTGTAACACTCAAGCTTCTATTGGCTATCATTCCAACACATTGTTAAGTGGCGGGAAAAAAATACAAATAAAGCACTTTTTAAACGTTAAAGCACGTAAACATGTCACAGTAGAAGCACAAAGTACAAACAAGAACCTGCAAATGAACAGAATAGGGCTCCTATGCAAAACATCACCAAAAGGCACATAGGTTGATTGCTAGCGTTTAACTACATACAATGTTGAATTATGTCCTTAGAGTCAACTACACTGCGTAACAGATAACAATACAATCAAATTGTCTGAGCTATTAATTATAATTTAAGCCTCAACTATCTAGTACCGGTTGTAATTTGTTGCTCTTCGTAACCTTCCACAAAAAATGTCTAAGTTAATTCTGAATAAAAATGTCTAGTTTAATTTCCTGGAAAAGGCGTGACAGTCAGAGTGCCTAACATCTTAATACTGTTTGTTACCTTATTACTAGTTTTGTGTTCATACCCGCTCAATCATGCCAAACAAAAGCAATAACTGCTTTGAGGCAATTCTGTTTAGACATGTGAAAGTGACAGACCTGTAAGAATAAGAGACACATTTCATGTTGGAAAGACTAAGATTTCCCAAATTGCATCATTCATTCCACATATAAAATTCTATAGCACCACTTATTCACATGAGCTCATCCTGCCATGGCAGTGCTCAGCGTCTGAGGCAAAGTCAGCGCCTGTGGCTCTCCGCTGTGCCTCTCACACGTGCAGCCTGGACTAATGCCTCCTACAGGCTGACGGTGCACTAAAACCTCAGCGCCTCGGCCGGAGACCACAGCCGGGCTGTACAGTAGAAGCAAGTAGCTCATGGAAAACATGAAACACGGAGGCCTCAGTGGAAGCATGAAATGTCTACACTTTACTTAAAACCACATTGCACCCAGTAAGTGAGAGGACAAAGAGTGCTGTTTTTGTTGGACACAGGCCTACACGAAGCTTTAAAGAAGAGAAGGCACAGTGGACGCTTCATAGGGAGATAAAGATGACCTAATGCTTCATGACAGCAGATCAAACTAGTGCCAGCTGGCGCCTGATGTAGGCCTACTGGATATTAAAAACTGTCAAGATCTATGAGATACTGCAAGTTGTAAAACCAATCAAACCTGACATCAGAGAAACTACTCTATTGAATTCTAATAACCCGTAGCACGATTTTTCCACTTTGTGTGCATAACAAAGTACTTGTTTGCTGTCCAACATACTGTACATGATGTCATGAACCAGTTTCTGTAATGCCACAAGGGCCCTACTGTACAGCACGTCATACTCCTCTTTCAAGACCATATTACAGCCTTTCATGGGGAATTAACTAGTAATTTCCTCAGAATGACACAGTATCCAAGATTCAGCCACCTGCACAAACCATTTAAAAATTCCTCTTTGGTGAAGAGATGCTCTGAGACACCAGACCGCGGTGCAGCTTGTCTCTCATTGGATGTGTTTGTATCCCTGCTGCTCCTTAGAAACCAGCCCACAAGGTGAGCTCCTGCACCGGGATGAAGCCATTAGTAGCCTTTTCTGTGAGGAAGTCATAACAGAAGAATGGTGGACATGTCTCATTGCTGAAATTCAACATTTTAATGATGTGGTTCAGTTTTTGTGAACCGCAGTTAAAGTGAGGAATGGCCTTAACTACAATACACAGTTTATGATTTATTTCAGCTGTGTGAAGGCAAAACATCACACCCATGCAAACATATGCCATGAACATGTGAGATATTCTTAGAAGGAACACCTATAATTTACTAAAGCCAACTTTAACTGCTATGCAAAGCCTTATTTAGACCATTAAAAGAAAACATGTTGGTCTTTTTGGGGTTTGCCAGAAAAGCAACCGGAAATATCCGAGACACGTGGATTTAAAATGCGTTAGCACTTCAGGTCTATATCCACAGCTTGAAAAGCGTTGTACAGGACTCAGAGGAAGCCAGCTAAAGCTAAATGTATCTCAACCATGGGCGTCACAGCCATTATATGAGGGTGGGACAAGTCCCCCCATCCCCACCTTTTAAAATGATTAGATTAGACCCCCCTGACTTTTACCATGTCGAATGACACACACACAAAATGTTCAGGAAATTGTTAATACAGCGGAAATCCAAGCTGACGATCTCTTGGTTTGATATGTTTGCTCCCCCAGACAACATGGACATAAGAACATTTTTCTGTGTTTTTTTTTTTAAAGACGACCCTGAATTAATAATCAAATATGTTTCTTTACTATTGGATGAATTACAAAGTGAACCCATAATTTTCCTGATGCTAGTATAGCCACATAAAAGTATCAAACCACTTGTTGCACCAGAATACAGGAAATTATATCTACTCTGTTTTCTGGGGGAGGACCCCCACACCCCCCGTCAAATTCTCCCATCCAAATTGAGGATGCTTCCTACGCCCATGATCTCAACTGCCCTACTTAACAATACTATTACTCAATAATGTAGTCATAAGTAGAACCACAAAGATGCTTGTGCACAGGTTTTTTTGAGTCTGTGCCAAAAACATTACATTTAATTAAAAGTTAAAGTTGGAAAGCAGTAGTATAATTATTATTAAAAGATAAGAGTAATTGTGTGTGTCAAACAGAGTTAGTTACATAATTAAGTCAGTTCACTTTAGTATCAACTTGGCCCATGTTAATATAATACACTCGGTATCAATTGTTTACTTTAATGATAAGCATTTACGATTGCAACCTAGCAACAATAAACACAGTTTTACAAACCCATCCACTGAGTATAAACATTACATCACCATGAACTGATACTAAGATGGAGCTTTGTTTAAAGTAATAAATATTAGACTAGAAGGTAACTATGTAAATATTAACACAGATTTTAAGTCTACAACTCAAGTGAAAGCTTCATTAAGTCTCGTTTAAGCCAACTACCAGTACAACGGTATAGCTAAAATAACAAACACAACTACACCAAACTGGAAGGAATTAAAGATCAGAAGATAAGATCGCAAGGAAAAATAAATGACATGCAAATACATGTGCAAGTGGAAATTTCACAGAGCAAAAGGGAGGCGGGGAAATGGGCTTTTGATGTGCATGAGCTAATCCATGTTGAGTGTTATTGAAGGCCATGGATACAAAGCAGCCTGCAGCCCTGTTGCCCTGCGACCACGTGCACACAGGAGTGGCCTGATGGCAGGAGTTCAAACTCTTTGTACTGGCCATTCAGAGCCGAGTGGGATGGCATTGGCCCGACTCACATTTTGTAAATACCTCAGAGTATTTCGCTTCTAAATTGAGAAGCCTCTTGTTGAGCCTAGTTAACTGGCCATGTTAAGGTTTCCATACCAGAGAACAATAAAAGAGGGTAATCCCGTTTCTATTAAATTCCTGTAAACCAGGACTGACAAGCAGGAAAAATGTCAATTTTCATCCAAGGGAAAGGACACAGCTGCCCTTGTTTTAATGGCATTTATATTAAAATCGAAATATTTGTGTTTCTCCTGAACAGCAGCCAAATATTTATAGTGTTCCTTTAGCTTGACTGTCCTAACTATCAGTCATTATAGGGGTAAAGCTTTGGATACTTATGGATACTTAAACCGCTGAACTGTTTAAGGAATGCTGGGTATTGCAATAACCTAAATCAGTGGTTCTCAAAGTGGGGGGCGCAGAGGGATGACAGGGGGGGCACGAGAAACAAGGAGGAAAAATGGTTATTAAAAAAAAAAAAAGATTAAAAAAAAAAAAAATCATAATTTGAAAAATTATTGATTCGAAAATAATATGATACATTACAGTACTATTACGTCTGGGTCTCTGTGTTTCATTAAAGCTCAGCTCTGTGTGTGCGTGTGGAACGAGCCATTTTGTGTGCGTGCGAGAGAGAGAGAGCGCACCGGTACCGGAGATCGTTGTTGTTAGCTTCTGGTGCTAGCGAGCTACGCTAACGGATATAAGGAGTTTTTTCAACAACAAGGTGGAGGAGAGTCCTCTCCTGTCAGACTGAGAGACTCAGTGAGCTAAAGGACTCTCAGTGTTATCTCAGTGGGTCTCAAATGTTTTGGTCACCATTAATGTAAACAATTATTTCCGAGGCACACGTTTATATGATCATTATAGTTATAAAAAAATAAGAGAATAAATGAAAAACAGGTATGAAATACTATATGACAGTAAAAAATGAATAAAGTTTAAAAGGGTGATTTGTAAAATATCCATAAAGAAAAAGTAAATCTGTTTACAGTTCTGTTTCAAATGGGTGTTGAGAGATGTATCCATAGATNCAAAGTCTTGGCTTTCAGAATATTAAACTTGTTTCGGCAAATTCAGATGATAAATACAACTTTGAAGCTTGTAACGGCCTAATTACAAGCGAGAGAACGGAGTAACTTAACGTCACAGCAGGCAGAACAACAGCCGTGTTTCTCGTGAAGGATTTCCCGGGAAACAAACACAATACACACAAACGCTACACAAACACACACACATACACACACACACACTCGCGAGCTTCTCCCAGACCAGCAATCCAAACGAAAATATCTTCCCTCCGTATTATTTTGATCATTTGCTAATAATCAATCAGATCGATGGATTCCAGAGAAGAGAAAACTTTGAAGGCCTTTTTCTCAAAATGATGACTCGGTGACAGTCATTATATAATGTGACATATTTCGCTTAATATTTGGAGTTCAACAACAATCCTGATATCATTAGAAAGCTAGGAATATCCTCTTTCCAGCAGTGTATACAACTCAAAATGTGTCTTCGGGTCAATGCGACTGATTTTGATAGAGCAGGTCACATATGTTCTCCAAATCAGCCCGACTACATGCTGAACTCATGTCCTCTCTTCCACAGATGGACAGTTGACGTGTCTGTTTGACTGCCCAAAATGCCCCCAGGCCACCCAGTGCCCGGGTACCCGCTGCTTCTCCTCCATAAACCTCGACAGCCGCGGGGTGGTGTTTAAGCACGGCTGCCTGGTGGGGCTGGATAACATCCATCTGCAGTGCTCCACAGCTCCATCCTTCAGACAAGCCATCTTCTGCTGCTCCCAGGACATGTGCAACGACAACAACACCAGGAGTCTGCTGAGGTCTTTGCTGCCAACAGGTTGATATAAGATCATACCATGCTTCCTTTTAGCACATCAATGAATTGTCAACTTATCATCTTTCCTTATTTCCCCCTTTGTCCACAGCCCCAGAAGGGGAGCCTGTTCGGTACCGCGTGGAGACGTTGGCTCTCTTTGTGCTCGGTCCGGTGGTGGTGCTGGCTCTGCTGTCTGTGGTCTCAGTTCTGGCCTGCAGGAGGCTCCACCACGGCCGTCTGCAGAGGATGCAGGAGTTCGACAATGAGCAGGGAGCCATAGACGGCCTCATCACCTCCAATGTGGGAGACAGCACTTTAGCAGTAAGATAAAGACAGGTTCTTGTTGAACCAATTAAAAGAGTTTCACTACTAAGTAAAGAGAGGTTCCCTTTAACTCCTAGTTTTAACAGAAATGATGTTATGTTTCTTCTAAAGATGATGACATAAGGATCTAATGTGGTATCTGTGTGTCTTCAGGACCTGTTGGATCACTCGTGCACATCGGGCAGCGGGTCGGGTCTCCCCTTCCTCGTGCAGAGGACCGTGGCCCGGCAGATCAGCCTGATGGAGTGTGTCGGTACGTTTACCACGCTGCAGAGCACACTCATCTGCAGGGTGGATTCAGGTCTCTGACTGACAAACTGATTTAATCAGATTTGGGCCTTGCGGGGTAAATTGCTTTGATTTCCCCCTTTTTCTTTATTTGGTATTTCTCACATCCCCTGTTACATCAAAACTATTTGAACATTTTCATATAAAAATAAAGATAGATTATATATAAATTAATCTCACACCTCAACTGCAACTCACTCAAATATATAGAAAAACTGTCCTGTTTATTGACTCTATGCTTTAAAGTCATTTAAACCAAAACTGACCAAATATTTATACAAAACTAATTTATACAAAAACCGACAAGCAGCCGGTCGCACAGATTATTCAACATGCACATTGTCAGTAATTCGCGCCTCAGTTCAGCTTCAGGTTGCAGTAGATATGATCAGTGTTTCGGATGACTGTACATAGTTATTCTAGGATCAAACCCGTATGAAGATACAGATCTGACATTGATGTCAAACAGATGATGCAAGGGCAACAATGATAGGTCACACATATTTGTATTATCTGGAACAACTGTATAAACACCGGTCATGTGTTCCTTTGTTTTTGCATTCTTTGTGTACACTGTATATAAAGGTTGTGTCCCCTGTATTCAATGATGACACTTGTATTAAGGTTGGTGATTTAAGAGTTATTCATGGCAGCTCTGGCACATTTCCTTTTGAACACTCAAATGAAAGTATGTAGGTCACATGCTTTGAGTCGTTGTTGTGTGCCACACTGAACAGATGGACCAGTTTAGAATTTGAAAAATGTGGCTGTGTGCTGTTGATGTGGAAATATCAGATGCTTTCAGTCAGCTGCAGTGTCAATGTAGCCAAAACAAATCTGAATGCACACTCTGAAATGTTCCTCCTCTCTCTTTTCTTCCAGGCAAAGGGAGGTACGGGGAGGTGTGGCGGGGCCAGTGGCAGGGCGAGAACGTGGCTGTAAAAATCTTCTCCTCCAGGGATGAGAAGTCTTGGTTCAGGGAGACGGAGATCTACAACACTGTGCTGCTAAGACATGAAAACATACTGGGTGAGTCTGCTTCACACTAAACTCTTAGATCTTGTTAGACCAGTTGTTTTCCAAGGGGTGAACAATTAAACAAGCAAAAACATGTTTCTGGTTTTAAAAGATACGATTTTCCACATGTCTCGACTGGAACTCAATTTCATTTCTAATTGGAGCCAATAAACACAACCGCTTTTTAAAAAGAAATCTCTCCATATGTCCCCTAGCATTACCAATAGAGTAAAAAGAGGTAGAGTTATGTGTTGCGTATCATTTTCACCATGAGGAAATACCTGCCAACAAATGTTTAGGTCATATTGCCAACCCCAACTCTGCTGCATTCATTCCTTTCAGAGTGTATTTTTTTAATAATGTTTCCAAGAATACAGTTTATAATACAATTTCCTTGTTGTAGATACATCTCAAATGCCTTCAATGTCCTTGTATCTTAACAACTTAATCTTTGAAACAGTGACACATTCTGTGGAGGTGAACACATTAAAAAAGCGTATCATATCATGCAGTCCAGCATCATCACACTGATAGGTAGCAAGATTGACATAACAGCAAATACAAATAGAACACATTTTGATGAAGCTGTCTCTTCTCCCAGGCTTCATGGCGTCCGACATGACGTCTCGCAACTCCAGCACCCAGCTGTGGCTCATCACCCATTACCATGAGAACGGCTCACTTTATGACTACCTGCAACGAGTTGCCGTGGAGACGTCAGAGGGCTTAGCGATGGCTGCGTCGATAGCCGGCGGCCTGGTGCACCTGCACACGGAGATCTTCGGCACAGAGGGGAAACCGGCCATCGCACACAGAGACCTGAAGAGCAAAAACATCTTAGTCACAAAGGAGCTGCGCTGCTGCATCGCAGACCTCGGTCAGTCCGTCAGACAGGACCTTACTTTTATTTCTACCATTGTTATTCTGGTAGTCTCTGGGATTTCAGTCCCTTCCTGTTGGAGCTCTTTGTCTAGTACTTTATGCATCAGACTAACCATGGGACTTGTCTCTGTATGCTACATGTTTAAGTAGCATTAACAGATTAATTGATTACAAACATATATAATACATTCCCACACACATTTGACAGAGATGACATCGATGTCATAGTACAGTAATTCATAAAAGTGTCATAGTAAAGTGTTTTAAAAAAACATAATTGTAAATAATGCATCTATTTCTTTTGAGCATTTTGTAATGTTTGGAAACCAGCATTGTGTTTTTAGGGTTGCAGTCTGTCGGGTCTTTTTCAAAGCATCTCTGTATGTCCACCTTTTCAGCTGGTGTGTATACATGCCAGAACTTCTAAATGTGCCCAGATTGTTTCTAAGGTTGACTAAAGTGCTGTGTGCAACTGGCTGTTGCAGGGCTGGCTGTGACCCACTCGCAGGCAGACAACCAGCTGGATGTGGGCAACAACCCCAAGGTGGGCACCAAGCGCTACATGGCCCCCGAGGTTCTGGACGAGAGCATTCAGATCGATTGCTTCGACGCCTATAAGAGAGTGGACATCTGGGCCTTTGGGCTGGTGCTGTGGGAGATAGCAAGACGCACATACAGCAATGGTGAGTCATTCTGTGCATTTTGAGGACTGTGACTTAATAAACATGTATTTGCATATCAGCTTCAGGCTCGGCTGTTCAGAGATACCTAATTTAGTCTATTTACTTTAACTCATTTCTATAATGTTCATGTGACCCCTCAGGTATTGTTGAGGAGTACAAGCCTCCGTTCTACGATCTGGTGCCAAATGACCCCAGCTTCGAGGACATGAGGAAGGTGGTGTGTGTGGAGCAGCAGAGGCCTTTCATTCCTAACCGCTGGTTCTCTGACCCTGTAAGTATGACATTTTTGAGATTTGAATACCATACTATACTATTACCATCTGACATATTATATACCATAATAAGGCCTTCTTATTACTTGTTAATGTCCATGACATAGATGATAATGTTTTATGACATACTACAATGATCATTTAGTAATCTTTTTTTATGACTTACTATATATTGACATTTCTTTATGACATACTGCAAAACAAACAAACTATAACATCTAAATGTAATATTATATTAACACAAGCCATAAACCTTAAGAAACATGACTGGTCCCTCAAATCAGTGTACTGCAGGTGAGATAACCAGACCCCATTTAATACCCAGAATGCTCTTCAAAAATCTAAAAGCTGCTGTCAACATTAGTTACCAGAGTTTCCTCTCAATGTGTATCTCTGCATGACATCCTTAAATATCCCCATCATCTTCATTTTATTCTTATTCTTTATTAGGACCCCCGTTAGCACTAGCATGAGCATTGGCTATTCTTCCTGGGGTCCTCACACACACAGAAAACCAAAAGAAAACAACTCATTTCATGCAATTTACAGTGCTATATGAAGTGAAAACTAAAATGGTTGTCCAATTTTAGCAATCATAAGGCCAAACAAAAAAATACAAATAATTGTACATACAGGGTATATGCAGGAATCCTGAAGTCAAATGTAATCCCTTTTTTAAGACCTTTTTTAAGACCCTTTCCATACATTTTAAGACCTCATCTCCACTTTGAGTTTTAACCGGT